CCCTGTATAAGTTAAGACCAACTTTCATTCTTTAGTCATGTTAAGAAAGCAGCCCCAGCTTACCCTGTATAAGTTAAGACCAACTTTCATTCTTTAGTCATGTTAAGAAGGCTGTCCCCAGCTTACCCTGTATAAGTTAAGACCAACTTTCATTCTTTAGTCATGTTAAGAAAGCAGCCCCAGCTTACCCTGTATAAGTTAAGACCAACTTTCATTCTTTAGTCATGTTAAGAAGGCTGTCCCCAGCTTACCCTGTATAAGTTAAGACCAACTTTCATTCTTTAGTCATGTTAAGAAAGCAGCCCCAGCTTACCCTGTATAAGTTAAGACCAACTTTCATTCTTTAGTCATGTTAAGAAGGCTGTCCCCAGCTTACCCTGTATAAGTTAAGACCAACTTTCATTCTTTAGTCATGTTAAGAAAGCAGCCCCAGCTTACCCTGTATAAGTTAAGACCAACTTTCATTCTTTAGTCATGTTAAGAAGGCTGTCCCCAGCTTACCCTGTATAAGTTAAGACCAACTTTCATTCTTTAGTCATGTTAAGAAAGCAGCCCCAGCTTACCCTGTATAAGTTAAGACCAACTTTCATTCTTTAGTCATGTTAAGAAGGCTGTCCCCAGCTTACCCTGTATAAGTTAAGACCAACTTTCATTCTTTAGTCATGTTAAGAAAGCAGCCCCAGCTTACCCTGTATAAGTTAAGACCAACTTTCATTCTTTAGTCATGTTAAGAAGGCTGTCCCCAGCTTACCCTGTATAAGTTAAGACCAACTTTCATTCTTTAGTCATGTTAAGAAAGCAGCCCCAGCTTACCCTGTATAAGTTAAGACCAACTTTCATTCTTTAGTCATGTTAAGAAGGCTGTCCCCAGCTTACCCTGTATAAGTTAAGACCAACTTTCATTCTTTAGTCATGTTAAGAAAGCAGCCCCAGCTTACCCTGTATAAGTTAAGACCAACTTTCATTCTTTAGTCATGTTAAGAAGGCTGTCCCCAGCTTACCCTGTATAAGGTCCTCTCTGCTAGTATCCACATACATCAGACAGTATGCACTGGCGTTGTGATAGCCACCAATGCCTTCCTTCTCCAGCTCTTCCCATGATGCCTCAGTCACGGTGATGTCGTTGAATTTTAGCCAGCGTCCATTAGCGTGGTCATACACATAGGCCCAGTAGTGGCCAGAGGCAGCTTGACCCTCGTGAACTAACACCGCATGGAGTCTGTATGGGAACTGTGAGGGAAATAAAAAGAACAGCTAGTTCTATAAACACATACAAACTAAAAATATGTATGGAAAAAACAAAGTAAATTTCCAATTTTTTTCTGAGCTGCATGAGTGTTATAGCCTTGGCATTACTTGATAATTTACTGTCTACACATATATTTATATGAAGCAGGGCATACTTGTGGACAAGAAATCATAAATATCACATTATTTGTAGAATATGAGAGCAGCAAACCTTTTTCATCATGTCATCACTGTACATGTTCCCAACTTCCTCGTCCAGACGACTAATACCATCTTGTAATTCTGGAAGGAAACATCAACACATAGGAAAACTTTTTGTTTTATGTAGCAGTAAATAGCAGTTGTTAATGTGGTAAAACATCCTCCCAGTGCTTGTACCATGTACCCTCATTTAAGGAAATGAAACTAATTCTATTGTCTGAAAACATAGCAGCTGACAGCTATTTTCATCTTTCCTCTTAAACCAAAACACCTCATTTGTTTTCTCTAATTTTGACAACTTAAGTCTCAAGTCCGAGTTAGCTTTATCTCTGTCCCGTACCTTTCACGTCACTTTCCACCTCGGTCCTCCATCTTGTAAGACACGACTGTAGAACGCCCAGCTCCGTACTGGACACTTCCCGCGGGGCAGGCTTTGGCACGACTAGAAGGCGTTTTGCTGGGGAGGAAAGCTTACCATGCGGCGATGCCATGGCAACATCAGGTAATGATGATGACTTCACAAGCGAGGGGGAGGGGGGTTCTAAGTTTGAACTGAAAGAACACACCAGAGAATTAAAACAGTTACCAGAAAATTATCAAGTGTATCTAAAATTATTGTGCTCTGTAACTGATCATTTTAAAAAACTAAGGTTCCATTTTTTTACAGCAAACAGTGATGGACTTGGTCACTAGCAAAACAAGTTAGCAACAACTTCTGATCGACAAATAGCCTGGACTTGTAGAAAAAAAAAATTCCAGGCACCTGTATACAACAGTAACTAGAGATGACTGTTACACCAGTAACTAGAGATGATTGGTGTGTGAGTAAATACATATACTTAAATAAATAGATAGATAATACAAAATACAAATTATTTTTACAACCTGAGAATATAAATAATAAACATACAATCAGTGTAACAAAAATAAATTCATAATTCTTCCAAAGTTGGTTGAGTCAATGTGGCCTTAATATATGTTAGTAAAACGATAACAATTTGCTAAGCATCACAACAGTAACCTCTGGAAGAGAGTGATATAAACCCAGCAAAGCACACCTGTTGTTGAGAGACCTGGGCGATTCCATTTCCACATCTTGTACAACATCACAGACAGGGGGCGCTGCAGGGCCCGCGGGAGATGAGCAGGCAACGTCTGGGTTGGTTTGAGCAAACTCTAGAGCATATTGTAACACGTCTTGCAGGGGAAATCTCTTGGGTCCAGACCCATAGTTTGTGAACCTGAAAATACAATATGCTTAGTAGAGATAGAAATTGAATATTAAACTATACAAACATTAAAGTCAAATAAAATTGCTGAAAACATTTCAAGTACAACTGATGAAGATTTGTGCTACCTTTAAAAAACTTAAAGATCAAGTTTAAATTATAATAATATACTACAAAAGTTAATAATAATAAAATAAACTTAAAATCAAATAATGATTACAACCTTTATGACTGACACTAGCCACAAACCTGTCTAATCTACTGTGTAAATGCTGTAATTCTTCCCTCAGACTTTTCACTTTCTCTCTCCTCTGTCTTGTCACACTTTTATTGCACTCCATATACCTACAATACAGGAGGACAACAATACTATGAATGTACACTATCTTCACAATGTTTTCACAGCTTTAAGCTTTATTGACATTTAATATCATGAACGGTTATTACTGGAAAGAATTTCATGCAAAATTAATCACTCAATACAATCAAGACCTTTTGTGTTTTTGACTGAGCACAATACACACAAATCGTATCATACTTATTAAAAAGACATCAAGAGCATTCTATTCAGCAAATCCATGCTGCCAGACTCACCTGTCCATATAGATTGTCATAGGAAATTTTAATTTGTTGTGTATTTTTTCTGGCCTCCCCAGTGTTTGATTAAATTGAAATCTTGACAGCTCAAAGGTCAAGAAAGGAGGAAGTCTTGTAAACCATTGCTGAAAACACAACAACACAATGAAAATAGTTAGAATCAGTTTTTATAAAATGTCAGTGCAAATTTTCAAGATTTAAAGTGTACAGTAAGCAGATATACCACTTTTATGGGAAATAAATAAATAAATAAATAAATAAATAAATAAATAAATAAATAAATAAATAATTAAAGCACCTGACTTATTTTAAGATAGTTTACCTCCTGGCCAGATTTAGATGAGGACTCCCCAGTGACAGTCTCAATCTCTCCCTGTGCCGTGGCGTTCTCAAGACTCTCATGGATGTCATGGAAACCGTTCACTTGGAGAGGAAACTGACCAAACGTCTCCTGTCTGCAGAAAGCTTTGCCTGGAAATAAACCACAGTTATGTGGATTGATACACAAATTATGTTGTTTTATATACAAATTATGTGAATTTATACACAAATTATGCAGAACTATAATATAAACAAATTATGTGAATCAATATACAAATTGATAAATATCAAAACTAATGGCACCCTGACGTGCTTGCTGAACAAGGTGAAATAAAAACAAGGTCACTTGGAATATGCAGGCTCCATTATATATATTTACTCATTTAAAAAAGAAAATTTGTATGTGACTATTTCAATTTAAAATTTTCACCCAATTTCCACCGATGGAATTTTGGAAAACCAGATAAATCATATGATAATATCCTCTTAAATATTACAATAATAGGCCTTAAAAGCATGTCCACTACCTTCATGGAATCCATCCGTGGTGACTTGGCCATAGAATAAATCTATCATGGGGTTTTTGGCACTACTAAGAGATTCTTCACTACTAGTTCTGAAATAAGAAAGTCATAAGATTTTAACATCTCTTAACATCACCTCAGCATTAATACACACAAAAACTCTGATAAATCAGTGATTTCTAAACCTGGAATTCTATATCAGAACTTCTTTGACTGTTCAACTTAGTTTTTTTTTTTTTTCATTGCAAGTGTAATATTAAAATAAACAATCCTCATATCAGGAAAAAATATTCTGGTGTATGTCTGGCAGAAAAAAGATTTCTAGCATGTAATTGCCACGTACAAAGATTTCTAACACACATGGCATGAGCTGAGTAACAAGTTCAGTAAGAACAAACATGCATTAGCTGTCAGTCCTACCAGTAACTGCTAATATGTTCAAGGCCAGATAAAACAGTGAGTGAGTATGAAAGCTAACATTTTTATTTTACAGTCAGTCTTATAAAAAAGTCATTAATGTTTTCCTAACTACTGGTCCAAATCATCACTGTATTTATAAAAATTTCAGCATGTCTGGTTAGAAGCTGTCCCAAATCCTTACCCTTGTGTAGGCGATGTAGGTCTGGAGTCATGACATGTGAAAGCTTCCTCCAACCACTCTAGTAACTTGTGCTGAAACTCACTCACATCCTAGAAAATATACAAGTTCTATTATTGAACTGATGGAAACATTTTAATTAATTAATTAATTAATTAATTAATTAATTTTTTTATTTATTTATGTATTATTTTTGCAACATGATAAAAGTACCTGTTGACTGTCACTGGTACCGCTAGGAGAAGTGAAGGCTTCCTTTAAGATATCCACAGCCTTAGAAGGGTCAACATACTTCCTCTGAGACCCGATCATCAGCGCAAACAGACGCCGCAGCTCATGCATGAAACGCAGGTTACGCTTTTCCTGGGAAAATGGACAGAATTGCTGTTAATCTTTAATACTGGACACAATACCCTGTAGTAAAACACTAATATTAACCACAAGTCTATGTAACTTAATTTGTTAATGATGTCTTACTGGTTCACTGAAGACCAATGAACTAAGTCAACCGCTATCTGTGTGTAAATTGTTATTGAAGTTTTAGTACATTAGTTAGAGTAAGTACTGTTTTGTCACAGTCCTGGTAAAAATGTACTTAAATCAAAATAAGTCAACCAATCAATATAAAAATAAAGTAATGGAATCCAGCCTATAAAAACCAGTGTGCTATGTCTACCTGTAGCGTTCCCTGTGGTGTCTCCGCTGGAGAGACAAAATTCAGCACCAAGTGGCGGAAGATAGGAAGATGAAACAATGACTGAAAACAAAGCATTGATTATTACAGCTGACAACTTTAACTGCACTCAGCATCTAGAAACTAATTAAATATTATCTTATATTTGAATTTCTCTGACACAAATTATTTTGGCATTGTCATTAGTTACATTAAATATCTATGACATTTGCACTCTCCCTTAGACTTCATAGAGAGAAGGTTGAAAGTCATACATTGCTATGGCAACCAGAATTAACCCACAGAAGCATTGCGTGCTAATCTGGAATATGTATTCTTCAGGGTTGCAATTATAAAATACAATAATCCTAAAACAACAACTTAATCAGGAAGAAAGAAAAGATTGAGCCTTTTTAGGGACTGGCAAGAATTGGATCACTTAAATTTTTCTGGTTAAAGAAAAAAAAATGAATTTAACTGAATCCATCTTGTAAAACAGTTCTTGCCATGTTTTTACCTGTATGACTGCACTAAACCAACAGGTGTTGCCCACATTTTTGAGCCCCACCGGCCATGCCTCCTTCCTTCTTCTCTCATACGGATTGAGTGGGTCTACAAACCAAATGTCGCCTCTTTTCCTCTTGGTGCCAGCTTTACTCTCTGCCAGGCTGGCCTCGAGGATTCTGTATGGAAACAATTTAAGTATATCATCAAAATCAACACCAGTGTTATTTTATTATATTTCTAATTTTTATCAACTTATGTCAAAACAGTTTCACTGAGACAAAATTGCACATATCTGTCAATAATGTAAACTATCTCATATAAACTGATACTTTTGTTTCATCAGGGCACATGTTCAAGGCCTATTTTCACCATGAAAATCTTAATTACACAAGTAACACAACTTGTCAATTGGGCAGAGGATGGATAGGCTACTGTTGGTTTCTCCAGATTCCAGACTCACCTACTAATATCTTGCTCCTCTCGCGAGATCTGTCCTCCCAGAATTCCCTGGTTGTCCTGCAGGCTGGCGGCGATGGCTTTCTGGAGCTGATCTTCATCATTGGTCAGGTCAACTACTACTGCAACAAAACCAAACTTGGAGATAAAAGGAGTAGCATTCTAAAACTTACTTAAATCTAACTACTTGTTATAACACAGCAACACTGCTGCAGTGTAATGGATTCCTGGTGTTGTATATTTTTGTACATCTAATGGTTAAATAAATCTTTATCTTATCTCATCATCTCAGGCTGCCCAAACCATGCAAAACTTAGTTAGTAAAACCTGATGACTTTTCAATGACTTTTTGAATGGCAATACTCTTACTATTCTGGCATAAACTAACTGCCTTGCAATTATCTTTATCGTAGTAGCATATTGCAATCAATCTCCATAAATAAGCACACTTTGGGCTTAAAATGGCATTTTGGTGTTCCTTATCACATACTGTTCACAACAGTTTGAAAACTTCTGTTTTCTATGATCATGAGGTCTCTCACAAATCAAAATGAAGCCTCAAAACTGCAATGCATATATATTGTGTAATTTTTCTTGTTTATGCTATCTATCAGTTATTTACTCCACTGGACTCCACCGGACTACCTACATGCACTGTCACTCTTAGACTTGCGTGTGTTCACAGGGATACCTACATGCACTGTCACTCTTAGACTTGCGTGTATTCACAGGGATACCTACATGCACTGTCACTCTTAGACTTGCGTGTATTCACAGGGACATCTGTGGCATCCGTGGGTTGGGTGATAATCTTGGTTGTTGTCTGCTCCGTGTCTTTCTCTGGTTTCTCTACAGGCTCCTGAAATGACACTTCTCCTTCAGTACAACAGTACATACAGTGTTTTTGACAAGGGAGATAGACAAACGTAGCTGAAATAACACTTTTTCTTCAGTAAAATTCACAGCAGTGTTTATGAAGTCAGGGGAGATTGGTCTCGACCAAGTAGCTTTGATGCACAGAAAAATTGCTATAATAATTAACAAGTTGCTTAAGTCAAAATAAAACTACAGCAAAGAATGTATCCCAATTGTTTTTTTTTTTCTCAATGAAATGCCTCACAGGGGAGGTCAAACAATGGTTAGCGAACCAGTCTGTCACAGATAAAAAAGTTACAATTCTCTTGTTCATGGGGATTATTATGTGGATTATTATGGATTATCCTAATCCTGTCCACTATACGTACCGGTTTCTGCTGTGTGGGCTTGATGGTCGCCACTTCCGAGACGAGCAGAGAGACCACCTCAGACAGGTCATATTTCCCCTGCTCCGTACAGCAAGCTGATATAGCCTGGCTGATCACCTTGACGTCCTCAATACCTGTCACTTCCTTGATCTGCTCTAACACATTGGGTTCTATACGTACTGGACGCTCTGGCTGTAAGTGATACAATATACAATACTGAGATAGCAGCAGGCCAAATGACAACATGTAAAACAACACAGCATTATCATCATAAAATCATAAACATACTCTCGTGGTGGGGGGAATGGCCACAACAAACTGACTTCTTCTTGTGAGAAATTCCTTAGAAATTGTTTCTCCACCCAGAAACAAACTCTCGTATAATCACATTGCTCATGGGACTGACACTGAAACTCTGTTCTGCTTAGAAGGTTGTTTTCTGGCTGGAAAAATATTTAGTCATTAATTGACCCATGCTAGAGGGATGGGTGTGAAGGACTAGACTAGTTTACATTTTTCTGCTATGAAAATTGAGTCCATTCATTTATAACTAGGTCCAATTAAGCAATATCAGATTATTAAGCACCCACTTCACTTCACTCCCAGTGTTGTAAACATGGTTCATATCCTCCTCAAGGTCAACTTGGGTCAAGTAGGCATCATCTACAGTAATAGCTCTATGACAGGTGCCTTGACTGGTTATATAATATATAACCTTTAACTTCTTTGCATGTATAGGAAGATTGGGTATCAACTTCACTGTACACAGTCATTGCTGATACAGTTTCTTCTTTAATGGATAACAATTTCCTGGATAATCTGTACAAATTAAACCGCCTTCATGTACAATGGGTGTAAATGGGATGTGGACACCAAACACCGCAAGATCTCTTTTTCATGTTTGCAGTAAAATTGAAAATCATCACTTGAACACCATTTTTGCACTTCAGCAGCAAAAATCTTAGTCTGCAAGGAGAGATACTCTGACACTAGCTGCAGTATTGAAAGTGCAAGCTGAAGTTGAGGTGCAACATGTAACTAAGGGGGTAGGGTCAGTTTGCTGAATATACAGCACATAACATGCCATTGATGTCTTATATTAAATGTTACTCTCTGCAGGTAACATCATAACAAATCGTACAACTTCTTTTATGTAAAAATTAGTCAAAACTGGACAGTGTATATAAGGGGATTTCCGACACCAATGCGTAATACTGAACGCGTTTGGTGCCCAGCGTCTGAGACAGCGCCGCGTTTTATCGATATGAGGAAGCATACAGCTTATGATTTAGTATACATTCGCTCTAATGCTTAGTCATTTTGACATGAAGTTGCTGAGTTATAAAGAGGACGACTTACCTGGTTCTTATTATAAGATTGCGGTAGCAATGACTGCTCTACAGTCATGTTGGAGTTGTAAACATGGCGCTTACGGAAGAGCAAAACTGCTCCCTCACAATATCAATCGCTTCAGGGAGAACTTTATGAAAGTCATCGATTTTTTGTTTAAAACTGCCCAAATGTAAACAAAATATTAAATAAAACCCAACAGAGGAGACGTCTTAATAATTCATCCTTTTTTTTCGTACATTTTATTTCATCAAATACAGACATTTGAAGGTGAATGTCCAATTGATCGAAGAGCCGGAGGATTCCACTCATCATCACCGCCATAACCTGGACATTGATTGGCTGTACCTCATCATTCATACTCACAAACACGGGGGAAATAAATGATGTCTGCTGCGTCTAAAGAAAACTCTTTGCTAAATCTTGGTAAAAACTTAATAGGTATAGATATTACATCATGTGTGTTTGAAAAGAAGAATCAATGTTTTACTTTTTGATAAATAACATTTCTCTGTGAACCAACTGTTAACCAATCACCAATAGCTTTTCAAGAAGCCTAGGCTAATAAACATGGCGCCTCCCATGGAATGATTGAACTGAGGGATTATTGTTGAGTTTTCACCCCTTAAGATAGCTTTCTCGCCACTCAGAATGTCATTTCTCGTGGATTCTTGTGTGATGTTCTTTTCTCAGGTAAGAACAAGTTCGGTTGACGAAGCTTGGTTTGGATTTTACAAAAGTGAAGTTGAAATGACGTGCTGTGACTGATGTGTCACCGTTAACTGCAGTGACACCTGTCTTTAGGTTGTACTTGTACTTAATTCCTTTCTTATTTCACAGCCCAAAGAAATCTGCCCTGGCAACTGGACCTTTACTTGGCTACAGCCAAATGAATCACCAGTGCACTGCAATATCTTTCTGACACACACACACACACACACACACACACACACACACACACGACACAGCTGGATCTTAATTAAACATTTTACAGTTTTTGTGTTGCAAAGTGATTTACTTTCATTTCCACAAACACCATCTTGAAAATATTATCCGTGTAGTTTTCCTTTAGAAGTACCAGTACATTACACTTTATTATTATGGAGACCTACTCTATATAATTATGTTTTGTATTTTTATTTCAATTTTTGTTTATTTCAGATCATCTTCTTTGCAGGAGGATGGGTATTTTTCTTAAAGCAGCTTTTTAGAGATTATGAGGTTTGAGTTATGACTTCTTTCCCTATCACACATGAGTATAGAATCACTTTTGAAATACTAAATACGACTTTAAAGAAAAAAAATAAAAAGAAAGAGATTATCTAATTTTGAAAATTTCATTCTGCATACAAAGTGTAAGTCTACAGTTTGTTTCTCAAATACATTCTCCCTTTCCATTAGAAGATGTGGAGAACGGCAAATTGACAAACTTATTTATTTTTCATAGGTGCACCATTTTGTTGTGTTGCTGTGTTTCTCAGTGACCTTTGCCTTGTCCTGTGCCATGTTTGAACTGATTATATTTGAAATTTTGGGGGTCCTAGATGCAAGGTAGGCTGTGAAGGAACAGGGTATATCAGGTTACTTATTTTAAGTAGTGGATGCTTATTCTCTCCTCTTTGTCATCGATGACATGATTCTGTAACTTACAATAAAAAGCAATATGTTTTGAATATCAATTACATTTGAAATAGAAAAACTGTTTTAGATTTTTTTTTTAAATATGTGTTGTAATGATGTGTTGTCTTTTCTTGAAGTATCATTTACCACTTATTCTATATCATTGAGCTTTAACTTAAATTGAACTACTTGATTGTGATTATTTATATGATAATTCTAATTAAGCTCCAGAAAGTTTCACTGGTATGTGGGTCTGTATGCCATGCTGCTGTTCCTGATCATTGTACTGCCATATTACATTGCCTACTTTGTGGTCAGTAACGTCCAGTTTGGTAAGGGTCAACAGTACTTCGTGGTACTGAATTTTATATCAAACTATTATATAATACAGCCAATATATAACATATATTATTTTTTCACTCATTTTGTATTAAAGAACTAGAGCGATAACTAAAGAACTATATCTAAGTTTTGAAAATAGAAACCGTAGGGATTAATTATTATGAGAAGTGAGTATTTTTACAGTTTTTAATTTAAGTATATTACTTTTATATATACATACACATTATATGTGACCTGCAATAAATATATATATATATAATGAGATGATTGAATTAAAAAGTATTATAATGGTAATTTATAAAGAACTGCTAATAATCATCCCGTTTTTTCTCATTAGTGTCCCAGAAAAAGCATATCAGGATTGGCTTAACCACTATCGCTTGGCTTATTTATCTGTACTTCTTCTGGAAGATAGGAGACCCCTTCCCAATACACAGTGTCAAGTATGGTAATGATAGTATTATTATTATTATTATTATTATGAAACAATTGGCTTATTTATCTGTACTTCTTCGGGAAGAAAGGAGACCCCTTCCCTGTAAACAGTGTCAAGTGTGATATACACAATACTGTAAGCAGATCCAGCAGAGGTGGAACTAGACACATAAATTCTATATTCCAGACTACATCTCTATAGAGCAGTATATAGGCAGAGTAGGGGTGATAGGAGTGACATTGATGGCAGTGTTGTCTGGATTTGGTGCTGTCAACTATCCTTACACATCCATGTTTTATTTTATCAGGTAAGAAGAAAGGTGTGATGATGAAAATAAAAAAAATTAGATTGTGTTCACAATGAAACTGTTTTACTAGGTAATTAATGTTAACTCCATAGAGACTTGCTAAATGCAAGCAGATTAACAATATGCCTCCTCTTGTTTCTTAAAGGGATAATAACTCTTCGTTTTGGCCAAAAAATGAATTTTCCTAGAGTAAAGAACATTTTTTTCATACTTACCAGTGGTTAATGAATCCATTTTTACATTCAAAGTTAGTCCCAGGTTTATTTTAAAAAAGTTTGCTTTTTTGTTTTAATCTTTTAAGAGATTATAACAGAGCATGGCCATCAATGGAGGTCACGTGGTCTAAAGACAAGCTCAGACAGAATAATAGCTATAACTGCAGTTTTTGTGGTACAACAGAATATATTATATTTCTATGAACTGTTCACAATGTTTTTATTGTGAAATATAGATATCATAGGAAGAGTTATTATCCCTTTAAGTACTGGTTTCTTTATAGCTTTTCTGTATTTTACTCAGTGCCAGGAAATAGGAGTTTTAATCTGTTAATCTGATTGTATTCAGCCAGAGTCCCCACATAGGAGAAACATACTCTATCACCCCATTTCCAGAGATTAGATCTACCCACTTTAGATCGACCTAACTCCCTGGGGGTTCACGCTAAATAGCTGTCAGCCAGGCGGACACGAAAGTTAATTACCCCCTTACAGCTTGTAGTAGGCGGGACGGACATTTAAGTCGGATTACTTTCAGATAATCCGACATTTAAGTCGGATTATCTGAAAGTAATCTAGTGAGACTCCCCGCGGGGATAGATCGATCTAAAATCTATGGGAATAGAGCCTATGATTATGCTGAATATCTGAGTGTGTAACAACATATATGTATATCCCTGAAAGTAACAAATTTATGTTCTTTGGTTGTTTATTGAAGCATTCACACTGATAAGGTGCACGGTGAGGATAAGTTGCTTGATATTTTTGGATTGTTTGTGGGAACTGTTGCTCTACATGGACAGAAAGTTGTCTCTGTTTTTGTGGTTTCGATGTTTTGGTCAGTTTTTAAAAAGGCTTAGTTCATAGAAATGTTATAATTTTAAACATTTCAGACAACATTGAATTGGTTAAATTAATTATTTCCGGATTTCTGTCAAATGGATTTATCTTATCTCTGTCTCTTCCCTTCATCAGACCAGTTAGTGATGCAGACATTCAGATGGTAGAGAGGAGACTTATGCAAACTATTGACATGATCTTAATGAAAAAGAAAAGGTGAGATCTAAAAGTCATATATTAATTTATCTGGACACTATTACAATTGTCTTGAAATGAATGAGATCGGTGAAACATATAAAAAGTTTTACCTATCTGTTTGTGAACATGCCTATTATGAATTATTTATTTATTAACTCACTTAGTATTTAGAAAAAATAATATAGTAAATATCATTAGATAAATGAAGAATCAATAATGTGCTAATGTTGCAGAATTGCTGTAGCGAAGAGGGAGGCCATGCAGCGAACCAACACAGGGGAGAGCCGGAGTGGGATTTGGGGACTAGTGAAAAGTTTCGCTTCTGCAGGCAGTGGAGAAAGTATCCTTTCATGACCAAACTGGGTAAAAGATGTGTTCATAGTTTGGGGGTGGGGTGTCTTTGATTTGGTTCATTAGCTCTGTCCTGGTCAGAAAAACGGGATATATTGAGCACTAGATAAACACGAGCAAGAATATAAAATAACTGCTCAGAGCTTTTCAGATACTGGAACAACTGTTAAAGGCAGTCAAGATATATCATACACTTTCCTTAACTTCAACACTCAGATTTAGGTCAACTTCGCCAGGAGGCAGATGCCTTGGAGGAGCTCAGTAGACAGCTGTTCCTGGAAACAGTGGATTTACATAACACTCAGGTAAGTGGCTTGTCTTGACTGCTGGTGCCATCTGTAGTGTGAATAATATTTATAAATATATCAGACTGTATGGTCTTTTTTTATTATGGGCAGATTGTATTCTATCTGTTTGAAAATAATAGTATCCACATTTTTTTTTCAGATTGGGAATAAGTTGAATAATAATATTATAATAATTGACTCATCTTCTGCAATGTGATTTTCAAAATTAAATAATGCTATCTATCTTTTAGGAAAGGATGGAGTATTCTAAGACTTTTAAGGGAAAATATTTTAATTTCCTTGGATATTTTTTCTCAGTCTATTGTTGTTGTAAAATATGCCTGGTAAGTAGGATTGGATAGTAAACATATTTTTCATCTGCAACATCACTGAAAGAAATATAGACTAACTTATAAATTACAAAGAAAATATAACTTAGATTTAAATTAACATACTAATTACAAAGAAAGTTAAGTATTGAAATTTAAATCTGTACGTACATGGAACCAATAATTTACTTAAAAGTAAATTTAGATAAAAATTGCCAATGTGTATCTGTCAGTTGTACTGTGTACACTGACAACTTTTAATATTAATTACATAGAATGTTACGTGATGCTGTGTGTACATTCCAGGCCACAATCAATATAGTATTTGACAGAGTAGGGAAGACAGATCCTGTGACTAGAGGAATAGAAATAGCTGTCAAATACTTTGGAATTCAGTTTGATGTAAGTGGTGATTTCATCTTTATTGTTAGCTGTACTTCAAAACGATAGTTGGTCTGAACTTAAAGCTAGTTTGTTTTTACCTTGTAATTGTTGGCCTCAAATTAAAAGAGTTGATCTGAAATTGAAGTTTTGTGAACTTGACCCAAGGTTACTTGATCATAATCCACTTAATGAAATGATTTATGAAACTGATCAATCAGCTGATGCTTTAGATCAATAGTGACATTATTTAGCATTTTACTATGGATTTATCCTTAATGAAAGCATACCTGAATTAAGTTAAAGTAAAATTTTGGTTTGAACTCCTTAATGTAATGGTCACAGAGGTGTATTTTGTGAGTTGATGGGAAAAGTTACTGTGGTTCTAATTTGAATGTTAATGTGGATACTTAACAATTTCAGGTGAAATTCTTCTCCCAGCACATATCTTTCTTTTTAGTTGGAATCATCGTGGTGACATCTATAAGGGGTTTGTTGATAACTCTTACTAAGGTAAGCTGTATGTTTTATGTTCAAGCAGTCACTCTCAACCCAAACAGGAACTATCAAAATAGGACAACATAAGTTGAAAAAAATTATTTCTGAAGATTATTGCCTAAGTATGGTAGACTATGTATATCTTGGACACTTTGGGACCCAATAATTTGAGCACTTTGAAGTTTCAAGTACATCAAAGGTAGTAAATGTCAGCTACTATGGTAGAAAAGTCTCTGTTCATTCACATTTGCACAAGATTAGCTTTGAATTACAAGGTGACGAGTAATACGGACTCTGGTCTGCCTTCTATTACATTTTCTGAAGTAGGTGGAAATATATAGTTTGTTTAAAGTTTTGAAAATATTTTTGACACCATCTCCAGCTTTTTTTGTATGGATACAACCCAAACATTTAGCAGTGTGGCTTTTAGCTCATTGGGTTTATCTTTTTCAGTTTTTCTATGCCATAGCCAGTAACAAATCCTCTAATGTGATAGTGCTAGCCCTTGCTCAGATTATGGTAAGTTGTAGCTGGGTTCATCATTTGTTGAACAAACTGGATTGCTTTGCTTGATAATGATACTGTTACAGTGCCCCACCTTATTGTACAGACACTGTGACAGAGTACCCTTGAAGGTCTTTTCAAATTCATGTATGATTTCAGTCATATTTTGTTCTAATTTAAAAGTGGTTGAAAAGACATAATGGTTAAGATTTGTTTCACTCAGTGATCAAAGATTGTGTGATTTGACATATTTAACATGACAGTGTATTCCATTTCAGGGAATGTATTTTGTATCTTCTGTTTTACTGATGAGGATGAACATGCCTTCTGAATATAGGTGAGAATATTTTCTATGTAGATTCTATAAAATTGCAGTGATAGACATCTTATTATGATTAGCTGCTCAAAGGGAACCATTCTAATCCCTCTGCTGCCCCACCCAAAGCCACCAATGTGTCAAACTGAGTAATATATCTAATTATGATAAGATCACCACAGCCCAGAGGATTAACTTGGCGATAAAATCTTTACTTGGAGCACAAGCTAGAGATTTCTAGTTAAATGTCTTTCTTCATCTATTTCAGGTCTATCATCACAGATGTTTTGGGAGATCTGCAGTTTAATTTCTACCACAGGTGGTTTGATGTCATCTTCTTGGTCAGCGCACTCTCCAGTATTTGCTTCCTATATATCGCTCACAAACAGGCGCCAGAAAAGAACATCACATAGCAGAACAAGAACAATTAGAGCAATTTCGCCATAATGATGTTTTGCTCTTCAAAATAAAATGCATCAAATGTTTATTTATTTATTAAATATTATCTATTGGTGGACAAGTTGTATATTTCAAAGCTTTGGTAAGGCGATTGGTTTTATGTTCTAAATGAAAGTCAATATGCAGGAGGGATAAATAAACAAAATTCAATTGCCATTTTTTTTATTGAGTTTTTGTGTATTTTTACAGTCTGAATGATCAACTGATTTTCATATGTAATAAAATCTGCAAAATTGTAGCTCAGAAAGTGTAAACTGGTTTAATTTTAAGTTATATATTTGGATACAACACTTTAAACTTGTTGTCCTCATCTCTGTTTCTTATCGTGGGGAAAACAGTTCACAAAAACCCTAACTCAAAATAAATAGTCCATGACTCCAGGCAAGTGCCCTGCCTAATTGACTATAGATTTCTTGCAAAAACACTATATTAATAAGCCCGGACTCGTTTTTTTTTTTTTACTGTTGAATATCACATAGCTGACATACGTTTGTGAAGGTCAATTTCTTCTCACTGTTTCTGCTACTTTAGACAAGTTTAGTAACAAAACTCTTCACAGGGGGTATTATTACTTGTGACTATACTTGTAACAGTCTTAACTTTGTGACAGTTACAGTTGGGTATTTCACTGCTGTTGTACTTTAACTGTCTTTACTTTGTGACAGTCACAGTTGGGTATTTCACTACTGTTGTACTTGTAACTGTCTTAACTTTGTGACAGTCACAGTTGGGTATTTCACTACTGTTGTACTTGTAACTGTCTTAACTTTGTGATAGTCACAGTTGGGTATTTCACTGCTGTTGTACTTGTAACTGTCTTAACTTTGTGACAGTCACAGTCCACTGATCTCTCCACTGCTGGTAAGTTCTTCCATGCACCTTCAGCCAAGGCACCAAATACTGGGCAGACTGCTCCCACCTGGAATAATTCAGTAATAAATCAATTATTTCATTAATTAAATAAAGAGACTAAAAATGCCATGCGAGGCTGAACCGCATGGTCCAGGTCAAATCCATGGTACCTCCCAAATACAAGCTGGTGTTACAACTACAGTAAGCCTTGCATTGTGTTTGCATTTGTTAAAATGGCAGAGACCACACAAAAGATGTTTCTGTCACCGTGATATGTATGAAATATGGAAGATTAATTTCCAGAGTCAAATGTGCAAAGGTACATCTTATCATAAAGAGAGAGTATATTAAATAATTTACTGGCCATTAGGTCAGTGAATATAACATATTGTCCATCACCAACTGCACTGGTCAGTCCACCACGTGACTCACCAAGCTTGCACACAGTCCTTCACTTCAAGACACTCGGCTAAAGCCTGACTTGCTCTGGAAATCCTTTTCTGCAGAACTGGTAATAAAGCATCCAGTTGCTTCCTGTCATTCTCTTCTACTTCCTGGCATAATCCTGGAAAATATACTTCATTCATTATTAAGAAACACACTTAAAGACATACTAGATACAGTTCATACTGGTAACAACTAACGAGATTTTGAATGTCACACCAAACACAATTTGCAGTGTCTCACACCCAACAAAATTTGTAGTATGGCATCCATTTCATGTGTCTCATCCAATGCAATCTGCAGTGTCACCTCTACCACAATGAACACACCTGCTATGTGAT